AAAGTTTATTTTTGGCCCATTTCTGTAATAAAATAGTTATCTGACATTTGATATTTCTTTAGTAATCTCTGAGCATCTCCCAGGCTAACTACATAATGTGCAGAATGATATTACTTTTTTTTTTCACAATCTCTCAGATTTTTGAACCATGCTCCTGCTTGACTGCCAAGAGACCATTTTCTGATCTTATTTACTTTTTCGTCTCCAAACTACTTAGTTTCTTTTTCAGAGAAGTTTTGAAAGCAACAAGAACAAAACAAGATTGTTCACTCTCACTGATATTATTCACCATACTACTAGAAGTTTCAGCCAGAGCAATTAGGCAAGAGAAAGAAAGAAAAGGCATATAAATAGGAAGGGAGGAAGCAAAGTATCCCTTTATGCAGATGATAAGATTCTACATGTAGGAAAACATCAAGACTCCACCAAGAGACTATTAGAACTGATAAATTCAATAAGGTAGTAACATACAAAATCAACATTGTAAAAACCAGTTGCCTTTCTAATACACCAATAATGAATTTGATGAGAAAGAAATTATAAAAGTAAGTTCATTCACAACAGCAAAAGAAGAAGAGAAAAAACAATCTAGGAAATACCTTTATATTAGAAATTACAAAATAGTGATGGAAGAAATTGGAGAAGACACAAATAATTGGAAATTTTAAGATTCATGGATTGTAAGAATTAATGTTGTTAAAATATCCATACAAAGTAATCTACAGATCCAGTCCAATTCCAATGACATTCTTCACAGAACTGGAAAAATGATTCTAAAATTTATATGGAAGCAAAATAACCCTGAAAAGCCAAAGCAATCTTGAGAAAAAAGAACAAAGTTGGAGGCATCACAATAGCTGATTTCAAGAAAATACTACAGAGATAATCCAAACAGCATGGTGTTGGCTTAAAAACAGATTAACAGACCAATGAAACATAATAGAGGTTCTAGGTAAATCCACATCTACAGCCAACTGATTCTCGACACAGACACACACACACACACAAAAAAAAAAAAAAAAAAAAAAAAAACATGGGAAAAGAACCTTTTAAACTGATGGTGCCAGGATTACTAAATATGCACATGCAAATCATTGAAACTTTGCCATTGTCTCTCATCTTGTCCAAAAATCAAGTCAATGTGGATCAAAGACCTGAAACTCTGAAACTTCTAGAAGAAAACAGAGGGGAAACACTGAGACATTAACGTAGCAGTGATTTTCTCAACAGAACCTTAAAAGTACAGAAAACAAACAAACAAAAAAAATATGACATATTGGATTATATCAAACTAAAATTCTTTTGCGCCACAAAGGAAATAATCAGCAGAGTAAAGAACAACCTATAGAATAACAGAAAACTTACAAACTTTTCATTTGACAGATGATTAATATCTAGAATATACAAGTAACTCAATGAGTTTAACAAAAATATGTATTCTAATTTTAAAAACACACAAGTCATCTGAATGCACACTTCTCAAAAGAAGAAATGCAAATGGATAATCAATAGATGACAAAAAATGTTCAATCTCATTAGCCATTGGGGAAATGCAAGTCAAAACTACAATAAGATGCCATCTTATTCCAGTTAGAATGGTGATTATCAAAAAATGCATGAAATTAAAATGCTGGTGAGAATGTGGAGATAAAATAAGTGCATGAAATTAAAATACTGTTGAGAATGTAAACTAGCAGAACCGCTGTGAAAAACTGTATAGTTTCCCCAGAAAACTAAAAATAGAACTGCCATGTGATCCACCTATACTATACCTAGATATATGTCTTAAGAAAATAAAAGAGATACCTGCATTACCATGTTTATTAAAACACTATTCACAATAGCTAAGGTATAGATGAAATTAGCCTAGGTGCCCATCAACAAATGAATGGATGAAAATAAAATGTAGTACATACACAAAATGGAGTATTATTTAGACATAAAGAATGAAATCTTATCTTTTGCAAGAAAATTGATGGAAATGGAAGACATTATGTTAAGTGAAATAAGCCAAACCCARAATGACTAAATATTCTCTCATATGGGAAAACTTAAGGAAAAGAAAGAAGTAAAGAGTTAATATGAAAGTAGAATAGTGATTATTAGGTACTGGGAAGAGTGCTGCGGTGGGGAGAGTGGAAAAAGGATAGTTGGATTTGATCAATGTACCTTGCATGCATGTATGGAAATATCCCATTGAACCTCATTAAGAGGCACAAGTTAATACATGATAATAAGAAAAATTTCTTGTATCCAGTTAAAAAAAATTACGCACATTCCAACAATGCCAAGAGATGGAACAGCCTGAGCCACGGGGGAAGTGGAGGAATTAGTCAATATTAACAGAATCATAAATGACAGAATGATAAAATTAGTGGCTAAGGATTTAAAAATATCTATTAAATATGCTCAGGTGTCTAAATKAAAAATGTGAACATAATGAAGAGCGAAGAAATTTTACGTATTTTATATATTTATTTTATACTATATCTAGCTTTATTTTAAAATAAATTTCTTAGGATAAAATAAAATTTATTTATTTAAAAATATCACATACAAACACACATATGTGTGTATATATATTATATATAATATATATGATGATATATATTATATATTATTATAACTTTCTCTATGCACACACACACACACACACATATTTATAAAGAGAAAGAAGAAAAAAATTTCTCGCATTTTCTAAGCAAGGGACTGGGAAAACAGAGTCTTCATCTACTAAGTTCTGTCCTTCCATAAGGGTTGCCTCTAAACCATAGGGCATTGAATCACAGGCCTTCTGGAATGGGAATGGTGCCGACTCTCTGCCAAGTTCCCTTTCCCACACAAAGCACTCAGAAAGAGAAGTTGAAGAACAGAGAGGTCAAGTTGAGAAGCTGTTGCCCACTGCAACTGCTGAACTCATTGGTGAATGGAGGGATGTGAAGTGGGGCACTGGTGATGAACATGGGACTAGCCCTTTTCCTTATTAGTTGGACAGGTAACCAGAGAAAGAAACACTATCACGCCTTTTCTGGGTGGCCCCCACTGTTCTAATGTGGGTCTTCCACCTCCACCATCCCCCAATGTCTTTTCTGTTACATTTGGGAGTCTTGAGAGGACATCTCAGGAGACCTTACAAAGAAGGACTTGCAATGACAGAATAGCCTCAACCATATTTCCTCCTCTCCACTGTCTCCTTTGGTAGCATTTCCTCAGGAAACCTCAGTCCCTCTGGTCATTGCCATTTCCTGTGGATTGCCTTGTGCAGTGAAGATATGATACATACTATTTTTTCCCTACTTCCTTCACCCTGGACTACCACCTCACATACCCTTGTGTCTCACTGCCTGCCATAACACTCCCCTGTAGGAAACTGCTTTGCACTTTGAAGGTATAGGGTAATTTGTTATGGAAACTGCAATTTACATTTTCTTTTGATCTAAAGACTGAGATGTGTCCATGACATTGTCCTGGGAACCCAGGAGAAGAAGCAATTTTTTGTAGCCATCAATAACATTTAATCATTGAATCACTTCAGAATAATACTCTGTTATTATCTTCATTCTATAGAAGGGGAAATAAAGTCAAGTAAAGTCACAAAACTTGCTCAGGATCACAGTGATACAGCTGGAATTTACCTCAAAGTGTATCTGATCCTTTGAAATCTGTCTTCAACCATCATATAAATAAAATCATCTCTTGTGTCCTTCTTGTGTTCTGTGTTCCATATTGACTGGAACACAGTATCCAGAACAGCAAGTTCCAGACAATGTTGAAAATAAAGACTGAACTTAGTTTCAAGTTGTGGCTTTATTGAGCTCTTGGGTCCTATTTGTAACATTTCCCAGTGTCCTCTAACTCAGGGTTAGAGAGTAAATGCTAGCGTTTATGGAATTTCTGGAATGGTTTGCATTTATTTATTATTGTGCCGTTTATAAACTTTCTTCCTTTTTAAATCTCATTCACAATTAATATCTGGGAGTTATGAAAAGATAATTTTTAACTTTTTGGATGTGGGGCCTGCTACTTAGGGCCTTATTTACCTAGCTACTTAGGCCAAGCCAGAACTTGATCTCAAGCATTCAGGCAGCAAGACCAGCCTTCTTGCATCTGCTGGAGGTGTTTACTTAAGTTCAGGGGTTCCTGAATCAGTCCTAAATTGGAGATGAGCACACACCTCACACATGTACAAAAATTTCTTCTTTCCTTTCAGATTTAGAATTTCTTTTTTTTTTTTAATTGATACATTTTCTCCTTAGACATGGCATTTTTATCTCTCTTGGAAACATAGATTGCTGCTGTCATCCTTGGGCAGCATTGAATACCAAGCTATCCAAAGGCTTTCCCAGGATAAATATGTATCAAGTTCTACATAAACTTCACTAGGAAGGGTGGGAACTGATGTAGTCAAACCTTAGAGCCATGTTTCATATAATTGGTATAAAGAATTAGAAAAACATTAAACTTGGTGGTAATTTCTTATGTTTATGAGAGTTAGAAACTTGAACCTGAATTGCAGCTTAGTCTTTTTTTACAGGTACTCAGACATTCACTTTTTCTGCTTCTACTGATGACACGTGTAAATAGTTTTGAAGAAAAAAAAATTAACTCTACCACCATTTCATTGTCAACTTCATTAAAGAATATCTGTGTCTACACCCATCTATATCTCTTCCTCCATCCATCCATCCACCCATCATCCAGCTACATTAATAATTCTCACATCAAGAATAGCCTACAGCTTGGAGAAGCACATTCTTAATTAGGTGTGAGCCAAGAGAAGTGAAATCCATCACCAGATGAAATTAGGCATGACTCATGATTTGTCAACGCAGCAAATTGAATCCCCAGGAAGAAAACGTTGAGAAACACAAATGTAAATCATTAAATTATCTAGTAAAGATATCCTTTTTCCCCTTCAGGAAATAAAATAAACATTCTTGATTTTTAAATACTTTATTTTCACATTCTTAGTAAAAACATTGATATTTAAACCTCTTTGTTTTAAGACACAGTAACATATTACATAACTAACATTGAAAAAGGCATTATGCCTTACAAAAGAAAGACATAAAATGTCCAAGGGCTATTTAGAACATTGTAGTTCATAAAGCTTCAACATAAGAAATGTTGACTGTGTACTGGAAAGCCATTTCAATAAATAGCAACTGACATTCTTTTAAAGAGTTACAAAAATAGATGTGTATGCACATTCTTTTTCCCTGACAATGATCTCTACTTTCTGTTTGCTTGGATCCCTCAGATGACAAATTAAATAAGAATCAGAATTGAACTAATTTGGATTTGATATAAAATAAACAATAAATATAATGGTACCATGTGCAAGTAGATTTAATCATACCCTTAATTATTTTATAAAGCAAATATTAAAATAGAATCTTTGAAAACAAATAAATAAATAGAAGAGCTCTCAGAAGACATGTTCAAGCATACTAAGGCCAATCCAGGTGGCCTCGGGAGCTATCTTTTCATCTCTTTTTCATATGAAGTCAGGTCCTGTGTCAGGAACAGTCACCAAGGAACTTCCTCCTTCCCCTGGTCAGCTGGAATTGCCACTGGAATGAAAAAAAATGATGTCTTTAAATAGCTGCTCGCTCAGGAAAGGTGACTGTGCAGCATTCTGTCCCCTCAGCTCCAGAGTTTTTGAATCCAGTTTTCCCAGCCTGGCTCCAAGAGGACTTTGATGCCTGTGATGGCTGAGCTAGTAGCAGAGACTTCTAGGATGGTGGATGTTCTCATTTAGGAATGGGGGGTGGGGAGGGGGTTTGTTTTCTCTATTCTGTTACAGATATGTTCTACTAACAACTGGAACCTATTGCTGTCTGTCACACTGGGCCTCGTTTAGCTCATGAAATACTATTATTTCCCTTATTTTACTAAGTTTCAGATAAAATTAAATAATTATCCTGAGTCAAAAGTTAATAGATATTGGAGGGATCCAGACTTCTACTCTGCAACAATGCTGCAAAATCTTTTCGCCACTAAACTTCAGGGCCTCATGCTACAAAATACCAGATTTGAACCCCAGAAGGGACTGTGGCAGGGGGGATGTATTTTTTAACAAGTGGAAAGCTCTTTAGCATACCTAACTAACACTTATCAGTTTTAAAGAAGGCAGTTGTTACCTACACTCACTGGAATAGAGACAGGATTCTGGAGGGGATGCAAAACCTAGGAAAGAAATTTTGCCCTTCTTCCCTAGCATATTAATTATCTTATGGCTAAGTTGTTAAAATAGCAGTCACAATTTCTAGTCGGTCAGCCACCCATGGGTTTTCCTAATATAATGACTTCATTTACACGTGTAAATAGAAACCATAACTCACTTGTTCAGCATTTTATGGATGATTTTCTTGACCAAGGGGGCCTCAGGGTTGAGACAAGCTTCCTGTCCATTCTTGAGAGTGGCTCTGCTGAGAGAAAGGAGGATCCCAGTGAGGCAGGAGGTTCAGCTGGGGAGCAGCAGGAGGGTCAGGGAGACTGAGTCATAGCTCCAAGCAGCTCAGGGCGGGRCTTACATGACTTCTGTCTGGGCGCAGTGGGGTCCTGGGGACATCACCTTCACACTTTGGATGTTCTTGAGGTGAATTCCTTGCACAGTCTGCAAGCACTGGCAGCGCAGTTCAGAGACCACTGGCGCCCCTGGGGAGAGAAGAGACCGGATTAGCAGGGCTGTCCCCATCCTAGGCGTCCTCACCCCGTACTCTCAATCTCAGTCCCTTCCCGGGGACCCCAGGACGCGGGTCTCACCTGCTGCGCACCGGCTGGCGGCTACCAGGAGCAGCATGAGCAGCGCGACCTGGAGGAGCCGCGGAGCGCGGGGGACGGCGGAGGCGGTGCGGGCCATGGGACTCAGCGGGAGGATGGCGGCGGAGCCTGGAGTGCAAGAGCTTGTGGCGAGGGGCTGCTGTGCTGGCTCTGTGGCTCTCGGGGATCCGCGAGCCCCTTTTATGCATGGTTGGCGGGAAAGGCCAGAGCCCCTGGCCAGGGAATTCCCGGAGCTCCGGGTGCTTCCCCGCGGGCGGAAGGAGGTCGCCGCCCCGCCCCTGGCTGGAGCAGGGAGGACACACCGGTGCCGCCCGCCTGGCCCTGCTACCTAACTCCCAGGGTCTCTGGGCTGTTCGCTTTGTATCCCAAACCACCTGCGAGGGCGACTGTGGGCACCCAGTGACCTTAGTGCATAGGGCAAAGAGGGAGGCAAGAGCTGGGAGATCCTGAGAGCCTGTGAGATCCACTGCAGGAGGGTGCCAAGTTTTTAGAGGAAGGGGATGATACTAGTTATCAGACGTGGGGGTTTAAGGAAGAGCGCGAAGGGGGTCCTAGAAAACCTAGTTCACTATATACCTTTCCTGTGTATGTCCCTAATTTTTTATTTTGCTTATTGTATATACACCTGAAATTCCTTCTCTTGTTCAAAACTTGAGTCAATATCGCAGATTGAAGAGAATATTCTACTTGCTTCTCATGTTGTATATCCTCAATCCCCAATTATCTTGTTTGCGTTTTCCATTTGGTGGGAATGGGGATTAACGTCAACAGTCGAATGTAACATGACCTCTTCTTTGGATCCTGACTAACTTCCTTCTTCCCTCTGAAATGTTGGCGACCTCTGAAATTCCCCGGAGATCTAATATCCCACGTATAAGGGGTTAAACTTTGATCTTTGCAATACCGGACTGTAGGCCACTCTTAAGCTGAAGAGCAGAGGGAAGGGTGGAGCAGGCTCAAGGAGTTAGCTTTTCTGATAACATTGGGCAGCAGGCTCTTGGACTCTAGGGAGCGGGTACCCGCTGCTCAGTACTGGTGCCCTAGAGCAGCAAATAGAATCATGCAAATGAGATAGGAAACACTAATCACACACACACACACACACACACACACACACACACACACACAAATCCCATTTCATTTAATACGGGGCTGTCTTGTATTCCATGTTGGTCCTCTTTCTCTAGAAACACATGTCTGTTTTCTGATGAGCGATTTCAAATTCTTTGTTTTCTTTATGTAAYTTTTAAAATTTAAATATGACAGCAAAATGCATTTCAATTCTTATTACATATATAGAGCACAATTTTTCTTATCTCTGGTTGTACACATAGTATATTCACACCAATTGGTGTCTTTGGATAGTAATGATCATCACATTGCACCATCATTCCAGGTTAAAATTCTTTCAACCTGACTCTCTCTGTTCGCTTTTTCTCCAGGAGTTTTGAGAACKTTTTCATCACTGGGTTTTAGAGGGCAGGGCAGGGCGTGAGTTTGTTTCTCCAAGTTGTATTCAGATCTTTATCACAGAAACCTGAAATACAATACAATGGGAGCAGGGAGAGGAGAAACGTAATGGCCTCTGCCCTAGGGGCACAGGTCTGCAGGACAGGGTTTCCAACTGCCCTGCTCAACAGATACTAGCAGGTGCTCCCTGTCAACCACCTGGCAAGTAGCTCTAGATGCACATAATTCCCATATCACCTGCAAYTTGTTAAACCTCTTTGTTTCTCCCTCAAGGTGGTTATGAAAAATGAGTCAACATTCATAAAGCACYGGCATGGATTAAGTACCTTATAAATCTTTGTTAAATAAAGTGGGAACAGTTTTTTCCAATATTGCCCAAACAGAAACTTCACCTGTTGTGAATCCTTCTTTGAAGAAATTTAAATAAAAAATAAGTTCATTCCCCAATTTTCCTTTTCACATTCAAAATTTTCTATATCAGTTGCTGACCCCAACTGTGTCTAACTGAATACAACACAATATGGAGTAGTAATGTGTCTGTAAGACATCAAGGCAGATCCTAGAATAAAGTTCATAAAACCACCATCATCTGGGTGTTCAGAATGCCCCTGATACTGGTGCTAATTGGAGACAGGGCTATCACAATAATTTTGGTGTAGAATGGAATACATGTGCTGACATGTTGTGCTTAAACACTATAGATAGTATTCGTGGTCGAGTCCTTCTCAGTAAATTTCCTGGTCTTCCTGATTAATTTCTTGACAGAAAGGATACCCAGAATGCAGTGACTCAACACAGGTAGAAAGGCAAAGTAACCTCTTCAGCAGTTTCCTGCTGTAGTCAGTGCTACACACTTAAAAACTTTTAAAAATCAATTGAGAGTTACAAAAAATACAATGTAGAATGATATATTTCAGACTTTCATCGAGGAAGGCATATGTGTGCTCTATTATGAGATGCCACATAGATGGGATTTTATTTTTTATTGCTAAGATGAATCATTGATTTTGTGATTCCAATTTCAATCATTTCRTCTACTAAAAAAGAGTTTGAATAAAAGACTCATTTATTGGAAAAGATGTACAAAATGAATGACTATTTAAAAAATCACTCTAGTATTTATCACTATGATCCTGGGGGGAAAAAACCCAGAAAAGTAAAAAGAGATTAAATTTTGTATCAGGGAGAAGGAAATGAGAAGTAATCTAATGTGACTAGTTCATGAGTAGTTGAGAATTTGTGTGGTCACTATTTTACTGGGATTTAATGGGAAACTGTCTACAAATGTGAAAGTAATTATTGAAAACTTGAAACAATTTTTTTGTTTTCTAATTGTACTTGCAATATGTGCTGGTTTTATTAAGTTGTGAAGTCAAAAAGGCACGAAGAGGTATTTTTTTCTTCTTATATCTCCTTTGTCTAGGGAGAAAATTTAACATCTGTTTTCTCCTCAACAAACATAGTAGTTAAATTATAAGGGCTTACAGGATTCTGGGTAAATATGAAACACACTGCTTCCTATATTTAGTTGMCACAAACCCTGAGTGATTTACTAACCCTCTGCACCCACCCAAGGTACAAAGCTTTTATTTTATGCTCATCTAAGCGCTTTACAAATATTGACTCATTCAGTCTTCAAACAACCCTGTGAAGTAGACATTACTATTATCTTTATGGAAGGTAAAGTTTACAAATAAAGAAACTGAGGTACAAACACATCAAGTAATTTCCCTAATGAACTATGCCGTTAAGCCTGGAATCAAATCCAGAAATAAAATGGCTCTTAACAATTATGCTATCATAAGAAAAAACTCTAATACATGATTAATAATTTCAGAAAAGGAGTAATTTTTAAAATCTGTTATTACCTTGGTTGGTTGGTTTAACATTCTAAAATGAAACACAAAGCAGTATGGAGATTCCTCAGAAAACTTGGAATGGAACCACCATTTGACCCAGATATCCCACTCCYTTGTTTTTTACTCAAAGGACTTAAAATCTGCATACTATAGTGATGCAGCCACATCAATGTTTATAGCAGCTTAATTCACAATAGCAAAATTATGGAACCAACCTCAGTGTCCTTTAACAGGTGAATAGATAAAGAAAATGTGGTATATGTACATAATGGAATATTACTCAATCATAAAGAAGAATGAAATTATGACATTTGCTGGTAAATGGATGGAACTAGAGGCTATCATGCTAGGTGAAATAAGCCAGTCCCCCAAACCAAAGGCTGAGTGTACTTTCTGATATGTGGATGCAAACACACAATAAGGGGAAGGGGGAAGAAAAAATAGAAGTTCATTGGATTAGACAAAGGGGAATGAAAGAAGGGAGGGGAGATGAACATAGGAAAGACAGTGGAATTAATCAGACATATCTTTCCTATRTTCATATATAAATACATGATCAGTGAAACTCCACATCAGGTACAATCACAAGAATGGGATCCTAAATAGAAAAAGTTATACTCCATTGCATGTGTACTATGTCAAAATACACTATACTGTAACATATATCTAAAAAGAATAAATCAAAAATAAATAAAATGAAACCCAGAAGAACAGTCCTATATCTCTAAAATTGTTGCACTAAACAGCATAACTCTCTTCTGTGGCATTGGTTAGTTTGTTATGTTTTCTTGAAGTGCCAAATTCTGAAAAAAATAGTAACTTCCCCAGGGAGAGAAAGACGAAAAACTACCACTTTAGCAAGAAATGATGGTTAACACCATCAGTATGGTGTCATGAGGATGTCATATACCCACTGGCATGATGTCATAAGAAAGGCTTTCTTTGATATTCTTTCCAAAAATTCATAACTGATGTATAAYCATGAAAAAAATATTCAAGTCCAAATTGAAGAATTTGAAGTAGCTGAGCAGCATTCTATAAAACTGTCAAGATTATGAAAAACAGGAAAGGACTGAGAAACTATTACGGACTAGACAAAAATGTGGAGAACATGGCAACTAACTTAGATTGGATCCTGAGACAGAAAAGGGACTTAATGGAAAGCCTAGGGAAGCCTGAATCAAGTCTGGAGTTTAGTTCAAAGAGTAATGTGCATTACCAACATTGGTTTGTTTCTTAGATTTGACAAATGTACCAGGTAATGAAAAATGTTTGGAACTGAGTAAAGGATTCACAGACACTGTATTATTTTTATAATTTTTATATATTTGAAATGATTTCAAAAACACAAATGTTCACATTTTAAAGGTTTCTCTTTCTAAATTAATTTAGAATATTACCAAAATGAAATTAGTGGATATGCATGCACCTGCTAGCTTTCAAGAAATGAAATTCAATTTTGGTTGAATGCCTACTTACTCAAATCTGAAAACCCAGAATATCTGTGGCTGCAGTTTGAACACTTCATCATGTTTCATGGGATGAAATAATTTGACTTCAGCATTAATCATGCTGTCCAAATATCTTGTCTATTTCTTGGAACGGAAGAAAAACAGAAAGTGTTTGCTGCAATTGGTCTTCACACACAACTCATAACTGACGTAAATGAGAGGACTCAGAGATAGTCAGACATAGTTTATCCAGAGGAGCTGCCAAAAGAATGAAGCATGTCACGAAGCAGCCAATATTTGGAGATTATAGAGCCTGACTCTTGGAAATAACTTAATCAAAATCACTTGTTTTGTCATGAAATAAAAGCAAAGAGTTATGTGGTTAT